TGAGAGGTGTGCCTTTTGGGAGTGGCAGAGAGCTCAATTTATAGGCATCTAGCTTCGCCGAAACGGCCCGTTCCAAATTCAGAACGGCCCGTTCTGGACCCTTGAATCATGGGTAAAAATCACATCCAGAACGACCCGTTCTCAAACCAGAATGGCCCGTTCTGTGGTGCATTTAATAATCACAACGGTCATATTTTGGAACGGTTCGTTCTCAACTCCGGAACGACCCGTTCTCAACTTTGGAACGACCCGTTCCAATTTGGGAACGACCCATTCCCATCTAAAAGTTGTAGGCAAATTTAATGGTTTGGAACGGCCCGTTCCAAATCCGAAACGGCCCGTTCCAGGCTACTAGAAGTAGGTCTATTTAGTAATTTGGAACGGTCCGTTCTAATTTTGGAACGGCCCGTTCTAGGCTACTAAACCACCTTAATTGGACTTTTGGCCCAGTGAAAATTGGGCTGTTACATTTTACATAAATTCATAGAACGTACATGTATTATACCTATTAAATATATGTCATTGTTTTTCATGTAATTACTTAAACATAGACTCAAATCTATTTAATTGATACTCCTTCTGGATTTATATATAAGTAAAAAAAAAACACTTAAATTTTCTAACTTAAATATAAATAAATTTTAATTAAGTTAACTTTATTTAGTGTTATGAAGTTAGAATTATCTTAAACATAATAAATGTGATTAAAAATATTATAGTAAATATAATATATATTTTATATGAAATTATGAAAATTAAATATATTTAATTATCTTTCCTAATTTGTCTAAAATTAGTTATTTTTTTTATGTTCAATGGAGTAGTCAATAGTGTTTACTCCTTACGAATAATTTTTTTATTTACTACATATGATATTATTACAAATTATCTATCTATAGTGTTAATGACTAATTTATATCAAATAATTTGACAGACTATTTTTAATAAGTTTTTATCTAATCATATTTTTATTTTTATTTACAAAGTTCAAACTTGAGATTAGAGCTATCAATTTTGATGAAACTAGTGGAAGAGATTATTGCAGTTTTTATTCAATTAGCTTCAATATGTTCCCAATCGTCTTCCATGAATGTGTAACCTTCAAATAAACTCGAAAATGATGGAGGAGGAGAAAAATGAGACATGCCACTTCAAGGAAGATATGTAAAAATGGTAAAGAACTTGCCATAAGAAAGAAATTCTTAATAAAAGTTCATAAAGAGAATTTCTCCAAGAGAGAAAGCTAAGACTTTTGGAAGAAAAAACTCAAGGTTTTATTTCTCAAATGCTCAAAATTTGATGTCTAAATGAAGGAGGAAGTCATTCATAGAGTTTGGTAACCTATAGTGCAAGTTAAGCTAACCAAGGTTAAATGTAAGTCAAGTTAGGTTAACTTGTACTAAAGACTAACAACTTTAGCTACAATTTCACATTTGAATTTCTCTCCTAAAAAATGTCATTATGTTGGATCTAGAAGAGCCAATAGAAGCTTATTACATGGTAGGGCAAAGAAAGTATAACTCATGTCAAGACCTTACATCTAGAAGAGCTAATGAGGGCTTATCACATGGCAAAGTGCCAAAAATGTGACTGAGTGTGACACGTGTGACTTATTGGAGACTTGAATGTTACATGAAACACATTGTCTACAAAGTGGACATCCCACATCTTGGACCACACATACAAGCTTGTCTCTACGGGTCATTCAAGCCCAATAAGCTCATGTATCATTTTTCTAGTTATACCTCCCCTAAAATACTATTTTATAACCCCTAAAAATAAAAATTATAAGGAAATAAATTCCTAAACTATTTAACCCAAACATAGAAGGTCAAAATTAAGAAAATATGTACAAGAAAATATATTTACAAAGAAGAAAAAGTTTAAGATCTTGGGCCTTCTTCCTTTAAACCTAGCTCACTCCTCTTGACTTCTTTAGGACTTAGCCCCTTGGCATGATATCATCATCCTCACCCTCTTCAAGAGGACTTGTCCTCAAATCGCAATCCCATTCTTCTTATTTAATAACTATAAAAGAAAGTAAACTACAAGCATTAGAAGTATTGTTTTCTTTATGATCAAAGAGGCTTAATCTACTTACCCTCTCCAAGAATGGGATGGATCTATCCTTAAGGATTTTTATTTTCTTAGGATCTTTTTGTATCTCTATAAGTCCTACAACACTATTTACACTCAAACTATATTTTTCTAGTTTTTCTAAAGGAATTTTATTACTAACTTCTAAAAATCTTGCCTGGGGTGTCTCATGTGATTACCTAGGCTTCTAAAAGTTAAATTATATGCATCTAAATTTCCTTGATTTCCTGAAGATTGAGGTGATATAATGCCGCCATGACTAAGGAATTTCTTAGGAACAAAGTGTTGTCTCCATGATTGGAAGGCTCGGAAAAGAGTATTGAACTCTTAGTTATAGGTGAGGTAGTTGAGAGTGATACCAAAAGGAGTTGTCTTTAAAGAAGCAATAGGGTGCCCACCATTCAACAAAACAACTCTCACACCTAGTCCATCTGCAAAATATTCTAGCTCAAAATATTTAGAAATGGCAGGAAGAGCTAGAACATAAGCATTGGAGAGTTCATTTTGTGAGGGTTGAAAAGCATGCTCAAGCTTTCCATCCCAAAATGAAGGAACAATGTTCTTCATCAACCCATTGAGTCAAATAACATGGGATAGATTAAGGTAGAGACTACTCTTGATTTAACTTTTTAGATAAAAATGGCTTTCTTTCTTAGCAATCACTTGAGAAGAAACATCTTCCTCCTTTTCACACCTCCACCCTCTAGGAGTTATTTTTCTTTCTCTTTTATTTTCTGATACGTGTCTAACTAATTTGATTAAATATGCATTTGAGACACTTATCTAGCACAATTTTTGTACATATTGATATAATTTTGGTCTATATATACTTAGAATCAGAGAGGGACTTTTGATTTATGTTAGTACAAGGAGCAATGAAGCTTTTGATCCAATTTTGTGTTTATTTTGTAGGTTTTGAGATCTGGAGGAAAATGGCTCAGCCATTCAAAAGGGCTGAGCGAATTCAAGCCAGAGAGCCCTCCAAAATTTCACCAAACTAAAGGCGCTCAACCACTCCAAGGCGCTCAGCGGATCTGACCCTGGAAGAAGGAGTGCTCTCTACCTCCTAGGCGCTCAACCACTCCAATTCGCTGAGCGGATCTGGCCCTGGAAGAAGGATTCTCTTTGCCTCTTAGGCGCTCAGCGGATCTGAGGTGCCCAGCCCCTTATGCTTGCTTAGCAGTGAAGGATCACTAAGGCACTCGGCGGATCTAAGGGGCTCAGCCCTTTAGGTTACTTCATGGTGAAGAATTCTTCAAACTGCTCAGCCGTTTCAAGGCGCTGAGCGGATTCTTCTCTTTCCTGCTTACTTTGTTTTAATTCCATCACATATATAAGGGCAGAGGAGAGAGAAAAGGGGCATCAAGCTGTACGAAGAGAGAAGAACAGAGAAATGAGAGAAAACAGAGCACTTTGGAGCTCGTGGGGACGCGATTCTTCAAAGGATTTCTTTCTCCTTCTACCTTTCATCTTGTTGTTTGGTGATTTCTTGTACTATGGAGAGCTAAGCTCTAAGGTTGGGATTGATGTAATCGTCGAACTCCTTTGTATTCCTCTTTGATTCATATATATATCTCATCTATTACTCTATGTCAGTGATTTGTTTCTGTTCTTAATGCTTTGATGAACTGATCATTTATCTCTGATTTTGGGTTTAGAATTTGGTTGGAAAACGTTTTCTGAATCTAAACTTGGAACGAATCACCTATTAGTTTTGAGAGCCAGGGATGGTCTTGAAATTAATAGTTGCAACAAATTCTAACTCTTAATGCGGGATATTTAACTGAATGAAGTGAGGAATCATTCATTGAGTTAAATATCTTAGAATTTCTTACGCCAAGGGATTGGGTTTGAATGAATTTAGAGAACTCAATGGCAATGAGTAATGGAATCATTTGAAAGAATCAATAGGAATGCATAGAAGGGAGACTGATGAAATCTATCCCAACTGTTTCTCATATTTGTTTTCTTAAAAATTAATTTATCCTTTGGTTACTTAAGTTTGATTAAGTATTCACATCAAATTTGAACATGTGTAATTACTCAATTTTTAAATTCACAAGTACCAATTAGTATAATATAAGGCATAGCTTCCTTCACAAGTCCCTGAGGATCGACAACCTTTTAATTATACTACAGAGACTTGGGTGTGCTTTCCCAAAGCACCAACAAGTTTCTTGGCGTCGTTGCCGGGGACTTGTGTCAAGATAGTTTGTGATTTCTATTGTTCTAGTTGTAGTTTTTTGTATATATTGTTTTGTTTTCATTTTTGTTAAATATATTCTTTACCTGATTGTTCTAACTTTTCTGTTTAAGTTAGTCTTTGTATGCGAGGTAAAATTCCTGCTAAGCATTTGCTATTTGATCCAGAGATTGAGAAAACATCTAGGAAAAATAATAGCAAAAGAAGGCAGCAAAGGAAGCTTGAACAGGAAAGACAGGAACAGGAGGGTACTTTCACCTTAGTTTCAGCTCAACACTCTATTCCTAAACCAATGGCAGAAGAAGGACCGAGTGGTGGTGATAGACCACCTCATCATCCTCCAAGGAGACTCCTAGGAGAATATAATCATCAATTGGGTCCTAGGCACTTCTCCAGTATTGTCAGGCCAACCAAGGGGGTGGAAATGAAACCGACACTATTATCTCTCATAACTGCCAATCAATTTGCAGGGATGGACCATGAAGATCCCTACACACACCTATCTTTTTTCTATGAGCTTATTAGCACTATGGGCGTTCCTAGAGAAGATGAAGAAGCGATATATCTGTGATTATTTCCTTTCTCTTTGACAAGTAAGGCCAAGACATGGCTGCAGGCCCACCCAAATCAGAGTTTGACTAGATGGGAGGATGTAGAGCAGAAGTTTCTGGCTAGATTCTTTCCTCCTTCCAGATATATAAGCACCAAATCAGCAATTGCAACTTTCTCTCAAGGCATTGATGAGCCTTTGTGTGAAGCTTGGGAGAGATATAAGTTTTTATTGAGAAAATGCCCAAATCATGGGTTTGATGATGTTGCACAGCTCAACATGTTTTACAATGGGTTAAGGCCTCAAACAAAGATGTTATTGGATGCTTTTGCAGGTGGTTCTATGATGATGAAGGATTCTGAGGAAGCAATCACTATTATTGATGCTTTGGCAGCCAGTGATTACCAAGCTCACCATGATAGGAGCCAGCCCACAAAAAGGGGAATTCTGGAACTGGATACTCAAAATGCAATTCTAGCTCAGAATAAGCTTCTTTCTCAGCAGATGGAAGAGTTAAAGAAACAAATGTCCAAGCTTCAAGTAGGATCATCTTCACGCTCTCAGCAAGTAATGAGATGTGATTTTTGTGCAGGTGATCATCCAAATGGACATTGCACCATCTCTGAACCAGATCAGGAGGAGGAAGTGAATTACATGAACAACCCAAGAAGGCAAGGGAATTTCTCTGGCAATTATAATCAGAATCAAGGCTAGAGGAATAATCAAAATTAGTATTCTGGGTGGAAGCAAGAAGCAGGGCCATAAAAAAGTCAACCTCCACATAAGCCATATCAAAATCAGCTTTGGATCCTCGTACAATCTGTGAAAATTGGGCTGTTACATAGGAATACACACCAGATAGCTAAACACAAGCAAGACATGTATATGTACAACAATATCACATTTCATTCATCAAAGACATAAAAATCACTTTAGTATATATAACATTAAAATGCACATGTAATGGACACGGACTACATACTATCATGTATGTGGCGCCAGTAACACATATCACATGATGTATTGTCACTAGCAATACACGAGAGTAGTTTAGGAGTACATGCCGGGTCACACCCTCTGCGCACTCTCATTAGAAGGACATACTACCAGGGTCTCGTCGGGATAGCTAAGCCACGTAAGATACATCCCATGCACACAATGGGCGAGACTGGGACTTCCAAACCGAGCTATCCCCAAGGACTAATCCCCAAGCTTTTACACAAGGGGGCCTTCCATGGCGGTGTATTCCATATCGTACCCATAAAAATATTTATGCAAATGATGCATGCCAATCAAGACTCTATGCATTCTCATATCACATTATCACATGACATTATCATCTCTCATTGTCTTATAACATTATCACATATCCTCATATCTCATGTCTCATATTCACATTTCACATTATCTTATCATATTCACATAGTTTCCACAGAGCACTTTAATTCATATCAAAACTTGTCTATTTGCGAAATTAAACACATATTCGTACATCTCATCCAACAAGGAACACAATAGAACAATCAAAGAGTAAACTAGAAAACATTCATATTTTGTCTGTTTCTCATAGGGTTCTTTCAGGAACCTACAAAGCACTCTAATTTATACAATAAACATTTAACACAATGCAATTTACTCATATAATTGTCTCTTCAAATAATCTCCTCTTACAATCACCAATGCATTCCCTTAGGGTTTCCCATAGGAACCCATAGGAATACCAAAGTCTGCAATTATAATCCAAACACTAACACTACTCATACATATACATACTAATTACATCAATTAGAACATTCAGGGAGAAACATGGATGAAACAGATACAATTTGGAAAAACCCCTCATACATGAGCACACAACAAACATAGGATTGGGGATCAATCCCACTACCCAACATACATTCCCACACCCAGAGTGAGGTTTCTCACTCCCCCCTTACCTGGATAAGCAAAAGATGAAGCTCGAGCAGAATCTGGTTGATCTCCTTCTTTTGGTTCTCCTTAGTCTCAGAGAGTGTGTCTAGAAGCAATGTCAGAGTCTGCTATTTATAAATGTTAGGAGTGGCCAGAACGGTCCGTTTTGAATCCGGAACGACCCGTTCTGGAGTCATTCGTCGTGTGTAAAATTCACATCTAGAACGGCCCGTTCTGGGGTTGCGTTTTAACACATAACAGTCATGTTTAGAACGACCCGTTCTTAAACCAGAATGACCCGTTCCCAACTAGGGTTATAGGCCTTTTTAGTAGTTTGGAACGACCCGTTCTAGTTTGGGAACGGCCCGTTCTAAGCTACCAAAAATAGGTCTTTTTAGTAGTTTGGAATGGCCTGCTCTGGATTACTAAATCACTCTTATTGAACTTTAAGCCTTCGTATAATTTATGAAAATCTACTTTGGAATTTATGATATTAAGAGAGCCTTTGTGCCTTAATTTTTTTCCTTAGTCCCCTTGGTCATTTCGGCCACCTATCCTTCTCATCTTCACCGTGAGTGTTCTCACCTTTAGGAGTGGCCTTCATCCATCAATGAAGTGAGCCAAAACCCTAGAGTACCACCTTAGCATTTCATCAAACACCTAGCCTCCATAAACACCATTCACCCATCTCCATCACCAAGGCTAGAAACCTTGAGTTCCATGATCCAAGGAGTCCGGTCTTCCCTCTTTGATGCTCCTAACTCAATCCGTGCAAGGAGGGTTTCCATCATGTGGTATCTAGAGCCAATGGTTCTTCAAGGGTAATCTCTAGCCTATTTTGAGTCTTTTAAAAATCCGATCATGTCATGGTGTCTTCTTGCTTGTCTTGAAGTTGTGCTAAATATATCATATTCATGTTATATTCTCATGGTCTATGTGGCTTGTTTTGTTCATTGATCCATGCCATAAATTTTCTTGTGAATCATCTTGGTGCCTAGGTTTCTTTGTAAGATTCGGCCATTTTTGTTTAAGTTTGGGTGGATGGAAAATGTTTTGCATGATAAGAAAAATGATGATCATGTGTTTTTATTTTATAATTTATTCAGTTTTGTCATAAAAGTATTATTCCCCCTAACATTTCTTGAAAGAAAATTCCAAATACACATGCCTAAACACTTTCATGATCAAAATATGATATGCATGCTATATGTTTGTTGAAATGGCCATGGGATTTAGAGTGCTTTAGAGAGTCAATCATGCATGCTAATTAGTCCTAGCATGTTCCTTGATATTTAACCATTCATGTGTGATTTGTATATTTGCACATATTGCTAAATTCCGCCATCTTGCTTTCCTTTTCCATTTGCACTTAATATGAACATGTTTTGCTTGATAATTTGAGGTTGAAAAGTGATTATATGTGCTTATTTTACTGCTGGACTTTATTGCACATAAAGCTTAAAGAAACTCAAATTATTGACTCATTAAGCCATCACTAATTGCTAAAAGGATACTCCAAATTTTTCCTAATCAAAATCAACAAAGACAAGTGCAAAACCCAAGTAAAGGAGGAATATTAATATTAAAAAAAAAGAAAGAAAGTGGCTGGACATTATCATTAAAAAGAAATGTGCCAAAACAAGTGAAAAAAAATGCAAACAAAAGGAATCCTTTGCTAGACTTGTGGACTTTTGGAAAATTTTTCCTACCTTAGAAATTGGAGTTATTCTTTGGACCTTTGGACTATGTTTTAGTGGTTGAATGAGACTTTAAAATTTAACGTGTTAAGTGCAACATTTTATCAAACACTTGTTACTCAATTCTAGTGTCATTCTAGGAATTAATCTTTTGAGTGCTTGCCTTTCTTAATGTGCTTTAATTTTAGTTTTGTGTCTTCTTTCTACTCCTAAGTTTGGTCACATTTATCTCCACTTGAGTTTAGCCTTCCTAATTGTGCATTTTTAGTTTTTATTTCTTTGGACTCTTGTACTCTTGGGTGGTTTCTTCTTGATCTATGTGTGGAAAGCAATTAAACTCATCATATACATTTTTGGTGAATTGATTGGAGGACTTGTCTGATTTGACTCCAAGACCTTGGGAAGGAGTTCTAAGAGCAAAAAGAGTGAATACACCATTGAGAGGCTAACCTTGGGTGTTCCCTGTGAAGGGGTGGAGAATTGAAGACTAGAATATCTACTATTATTGTTTACATTTCTCTTTTGCACAATTTCTTTTAGGCCACTTGTGTTCTTGGCCTTTGTTTCTTTGTTTTTTCTTTGTTTGTAATTGGACTCTTTAAACCTATTAGTTTTAGGGTAATTCGAGTAGTGCTTGTGGGAGTGGCTTGAATACCACCAAGGTCACTTCAAGCTCCCACCCTAGGGAATCCGACTAGCACATGCTCTAGTTGCTTTCTTTGCATGCTTTAGTGCTTTGGTAGTATAATTGCTTAGGTCTTTTACTTTAATTGTTTTCATTTTAGAAGGCTTCAATTTTCCTACTAGGGGGTCGTGCACACACACACTTAATTCTTGTGCAAAAATTGTTTTTGTAAGAAAGTGTAAAAGGGCTTAGTGATTTTTACTTTAAAAGGCTTGGTTTTTAAGTGATTCATAGTAGTCCACCTCCCTTGATAGTTCAATTTGTACACTTACGCATTTTTATACTAATCTTGCACCTTGAAATACTTGTGAAAACTTTTCATCACTCACTCTTTGTGAAAACCTTTTTGAGCCAACCTTTTGAAACATATTTGTGAGAACCTTTTCTTGATCAAAGACGAGTGATCACTCTAGTGCACATGGTCATAAATCCTATAGTAGTAAGATCGGAAGGAGGCCTTGGAACAGATGCCATCTTATGCAAGATTTATGAATGAGCTTCTGACAAAGAAGAGAAAATTGATTTAGGATGGAACAGTGGAATTAGAGGCAGGTTGTAGTGCTATAATTCAGAAGTCACTTCCACAAAAATCTAGAGACCAGGGAGTTTCACTTTTCCAATTACCATTGGCAATCTTTCTGTGGGGAAGGCATTGTTGGACTTAGGGGCCAGTATTAATCTTATGCCTTTATCTATGTTACAGAGGATAGGTGAGGTGGAGGTGAGACCTACCAGGATGACTCTGCAGCTGGCTGATAGTTCTATAAAGTATCCTCATGGCATTGTTGAAGACCTCTTGGTTAAAGTTGATAAATTTTGGTTCCTACATACTATCATGTATGTGGCGCCAGTAACACATATCACATGATGTATTGTCACTAGCAATACACGAGAGTAGTTTAGGAGTACATGCCGGGTCACACCCTCTGCGCACTCTCATTAGAAGGACATACTACCAGGGTCT